ACGACAACGACAACGACAACGACAACGACAACGACAACGACAACGACGACCGAAAAGAAAAGTAACCTAGAAGCGACGACGCACGAGCGTTCACCATTAGAGAGTGAGTGAGAGCCACATTTTGCTTAATGACTGACAAGAACAATTACTCGGTACTCGGTTTTCATAAATGAATTGGCTGTTAGCTATTTTGTCGCTATTTCTCTGTATCACCCATCGACCGTGCACGGTCACAAAATCCGTGTGCACATTACGTGATAAAACATAATTCGGTTCACAGCCGCAAGAGAGAATCATTTCATTTTCAGTTGCATACGAGTTGCGTTGTCAAGGCGCTTCTCGTTTGCTAACTGATATCGAAATGAAAAGAGAAGAAAAAAAAACAGGCCGGCCACTAAATAAATATACATGAATGCGCCACGATTCAAGAACAACAATACACGTACCGTCAACCGATTCTGTACTCTCTTTTTGTCTTGTTCATGCTGCACAAATTTTTATTACCTCAATAAAGAGATACATTCAAGTATAAGTTCATGCAGAACGAATGAAACGATGCTAAAAGAGGTGCGCACACAACAATCATGAGACCGCGCACTCACGCTCAACACGTATCTGCGATGCGTTTCCATAATATCTTCGCTTTTGCTATATTCTCACAATTGGCTTGTTTCAGGCGATGTGATGGTGATGTAATAACACTGAACACAATTGCATTTGGAAGTCAACTTTTTACAGAATTGATCCTATTCATAGGCCATCGCTTTTTATTCGCATTGTTATGAAGAATAAATAACTTTCACTTAAAAGTGAAGTCTATTGGTTTGCACCAGTTGTTTATTCACAATATTATCAACAAAACCATTGATTACTCACATGTGTTTGATACTTTTTCACCTCAAAATCGAGGTATATTTGAACGGGTTTGGAGCGAAAATGTAATACAGAAAAGTGGAGCGGAAAAATGACGATGATGAATGAGCGGAAAAGGGATAGCTGTATAGTAAACTATAGTGACCTATATAGCTATCTCATTTTATTGTATTACATTTTCGCTTCAAACCATTCATTTCAGTTTAAATCTTGATCATAATCAAAGTTCTGCCCTTGGCTAAAATGCTGATCAAAATGTGTTATCAAAATCAAAAGTCCAGTCTGCACATCATCTTCGTATGACCATAATTCGTCTTCAGCTCATTTTTACCAAGTATAATACTTTTCTCCTCTTTTGCATCGCAAAAGCCGTCGAGCCTATCAATAATCTTTACGGTTTGTTGATATATTCAATCCAATAGCGCATTGCATTTGCATAGCAAATAAACCGTATCTAGTTGGCCCATGTGAACTGTTTGGCCTGTGTGTAGTTTGACTATGTCGATTATTATAAATGTGCGAGCTCATGGTGCTCGATTCAATTGGGTGACATATGTGGCAAAAAGTTTCGGTTGGGAAATGCAGCAGGTTGTCGATCGCAGCCGAAGAATCTTCACTTGAAGATAGTTTTCCTCTTCTTCTTCCTTATCTTGTGAATGTTTCATGCTCATTTCAACATTGAGCGATGGAGAGTCAAGAGGAAAGAGAAAGACAGAATAAGAGAGATGGACACAGAGAGAAGCCCATTCTTTTGAAGATCAAAAGGGTTTCTGTGTTTTGTTGTTGTTGGTTTGAACAAGTGGTGTATCGGTGCCATTTATCTGGCAGTGTAATCGATGGCTTTGATTTCTTGATATATGATGTTGTCTGTGAATCGAACTGCGTCTTGCTTTTTCAGCACGTACGCAACAAAACGTTGCAACGTGCAAAGAAGAAAAAAAAAGCCTTCAATCCGGTTCCTTTTTTGCATGTGTACCGAAAAAAAAACAACAACAACAACAACAATGACCAACCGACTCGATGCACACATCAGCAGCACCGTTGTTTCTGTGTGTGTCTACGGGGCCAGCTTGTAATAGACATTGTAATCTATGTTGCATTGAGTGAATCCAAAAAGGCAGGCACAGACTTGGATTTGCTAATAAATCGACTTTTATGCTTATTAATGCTATTCGCCCCGTATTTTTGTTCTTTTTGCATGGGTCTTTCTCTCGCTCTATCTCTCTCTCTTATTTACTCATATTTTCGGAATCTCTCACGCTGTGCGAGAACCAAACCACGGTATACAGAAAAAAAAACAATACACAACGTAGAACTGGTTTCTCTTAAGCTTGGTTCTTCGGATTTTAAGCTGACGGCCGCCGAAGAGAGACTATTCACAAACATCTGCTTGAGCGATTCTGCTTTTTTTTCGTTCGCTTCCCTTTTTTTTTCAGAAAAAAGAAACACAGCTCAGCTCGTTCAGAAGAACGATCAGCAAATAGCACAATTCTAGTTTACAAAAAATGATTTAGGATTAATTGATTCGTCGCTTCGTCTAAATTTAACGTCAGTAAATTGCCGTTTTGTTATATATTTAGAGTGGAAAATAAAGTTCATTGGCAAAAATTCGGTTGAAAGTCATAAAGTATATGCATCGCAATTTCGATGCATTTTCAAACCGCCTCCTCTCGTTTTCTCACTCATTCTCTCTCTCTCTCTCTTTCTCTCTTTCTCGATTTCCATTTTCAATTTCATTTCGGGGACGTCAGAGCGCGCATTCTTGTTGCCTGTTAAAAATAGGATTGCATCAACATACGTATGCATTTGCATTATCATTTGCAAACTTGGGCACACACACACACACACACACACACACACGCGAAATTCGTGGCCAAATGGCTCTCATTTTTCTGCAAATTCAATTCTCGCACAGCTCATATATCGTTGTCGAATAAATGTGCAGCTCTCATAAATGACAGCACCGATAATTCAACAAGACAGACGATGAAAGGGGTATGGGGCCATAAAAAAACAGCAACAATGACGATGCAGACGAAGACGACGACGACGAGAATCACTTCATCAGAATACAGAACATACACACAATTCATTAAAACAAACAAGCGAAATGTAGTGTTCGAAAATTTTGCATTCAACATCATGCAGTTTGTGTGCATTTTAAATAGCAAACAACCAAAAACCGCAAACCAAATAAAAAGACCGAAGAGCGTAAACATTGCGCAAAACTTTTGTATACGTCTCTGTCTGGATTGTCAAGAGTTGATTGTTTCGATTTGCTTTTGTTCTGTCGATTTTGTTATAATGTTGCGTTTCATTTGTCTCTCGTTTTTATTATGTCATTTCGGATCGTCAATCGTTGGCGTATTTTACCTCGGTAAATAAGTCGGTGACCGTTTTTGTTCATCACATCGTTAAAAGTTCATCGAAATTGACGATGAACACAAAGTACAGCCCATAAATCGGGCCGAAATGATCGGAATACAAATTGAGAGAGAGAAAATTCCCTTCGAAAATGGCATTTTCTTTTTAAATGGCCACTTTATTGGCGATGAAATGATTTCGACTTTGAGTGAGTAGCATGGCTCTCTGCACGTATTGTGATTTTACGAGATTTCTTTTTCTTCCCGAAAATTTCATTCATTTCATTTCACCTAGACGTCGCATTGAAATTTATTATACCAAATATTCACGTCAAACGAACTTCTTTTTTTTTTTTTTTTCTTTCGGTGCCAACCAATTTCTTATTCTTGTTGATTTGGATTTTATCTGTTTGTGTTGTTTTTGGATGAGTTTCGTTTTGATTCTTGTTATTCTTTGGATGCGTCGCTTCTTTTTTTATTGTCAACGATCGTCTATTTTTCATTCTGTTGTAAACACTTTGATGAAATTAAATTTAGATTTTTGTTGTTTGAACGGGACAATGAGTTGTGTGTGTGTGTGGCATGATAACGAATTACTGAGGAAAAGATTGAGTGGCACAGCCACACAACTCACACGGTTCACACTCACGCATTTAAATCAGCGCATAAAATGCTGTTTTTAAACTGAATCGAATGAGAAAAGACAGACACAGGGAGAGACAGCGACAGCGATCGAGAGAGAGAGAGAGAGAGAGAGAGAGAGAGAGTGGAAACACCATTTAATCGTTTTACTTAATTGAGACATGAGATTCGTAATTTATTCGAATTTGTTATTTTTAGTGACGTATTTTTTATATGGTATTTAATTGAGATTTATAATTTTGTTTTCTTTTTTTCTTCTACAGAGCCACCTGATTGTTCGAGCATCGTGTGTGACCTGCAATGTCCATCGGATAGTAAAGTTGTACGAATTGATAATTATGATTCGATCCTATTGGCGATGAATGCAACGGAAGCGCCGCCGCCACAACCACTTCACGAGGCAATCACATTGAAACGAAAACGTGCCATACTGACACGACGACGAGAATCGATCAAAATCGTTCCCGGCGATTACATTCGACGTCGACGCGATGCCAACAATGACACATCATTGGCTGTTGCTACTGCTCAAAAATGTTGCGAATGCAAATGTGATTTTGATAAATGCCCAGAATTCAAATGCCCGCCCAATACATACAAAATGACCGTTGCACAAGCGTCACAAGTACCAGGCAGCTGCTGTGCTAAGTATCGATGCACCACCGAAAAGCCAACATGCTATTCACACAATCTACGCAGACATATCAATGCACTGGAACAATGGTCCGAAGATCCGTGCACACATTGCACATGCACCGAAACTGGTGAAACCAGCTGCGAAGCATCGATCTGTAAATCATTGAATTGCGAAAAGAGACGCACAATCGAGGGTGAATGCTGCCAAGTTTGTGATATTAGTGATAGTAAATTCTGCGAGCCAGAAATTGAATGTGATCGTCAATGTCGCAACGGTTTCGAACACGATCCAGTTCGTGGTTGCGCCATTTGCACTTGCGCCAAATCGAATGCGACCACGACAACCACCATTAGCACTTCTACCACCACTAAACAAACCACTTTGGGATTAGGTGAGAATCAGAATAGTTTTTTTTTTTTGATCTATTTTGCTTTCCAGTACTGAATTATTTAGGGGAACAAATCAACTCAATTCATTTTTGAATCATTTACCTCATTTCGACTCTCGAACGAGTCTTTTTGTTTGAAATTTAGTTCTAGTTGGATTCCAAGTAAAGTAAAATTATCAAATTTTCTCGGATAAAAAAGGAAAAAAAAACGCTTTATCTTTAATTTAAACCAAAATTAACCCAATTTTCCCTTCTCCATTTTATCCAGATGATATAGCGAACAGTACGATTGCTGTTGGCCAAATAACCACGACTCAATCGACGACATGGGACACAGAGACAAGCACCGATTTCGATTTGAGTCCAGATATTATAGATAATATGAATGCATCATCGACCAAACCGATCAACAATGATGAAGATTGGTATGTTCCATTGCGCATTGTGCTCGGAATCTGCGTAACGATCGCTGCATTTGCAATTGTTGTGAGCCTCACGTGCCGGCGCATCAGTCACAAAAAGGACAAACATCATCTAAATCGCAAGCAAAACGCGCCATTACTATAATTTTAACGAACAAACGAATGATGAATTCCGCGAGTTGGAAGAGGAAAAATCGCGAATTTCTTTCAATTTCGACTTCAATTATATGAATGAATGAATGAAAAAAAAAAATACACATTATCAGGTTCAGGTGTAATTTTGTGATGTTCTGACTTTCGACTGGGATACTCGACTGCGTTGGCGCCAAATTGGCACCACCAACGTGTCAACTACGAAACAAAAAGCGAGAAGTGAATAAGTAAAAGAAAAGTGTGTGAGAGAAAGAGAAAAAAAAAAGATCCGTTTGCCTGGCGGGATATACACAAAAACAAAACAGAAAATAAAAAGTCGAATTATGATTTCGGTTTAGGTTTAGACTGTAGGCAATATCTAAATGTAGGGAAACAAAAACACTAGACTAATTAAAAAAGAAATCACTTGAAATGAATATCAAACGCAAAGAAAAGAGAGAGAAACACACTTAGTGCGTCAATTTGTGCTCGCCAAATTCATTGATACTTGGCTAACTATCAACGTTCTCATGTCTCCTTTTGATCCATTTTTATTATTCTTTTTAAATTTTTTTTTCTTCTTAAATTATTACTAAAAAAAACCAACTGCGATAGCCAATCAAGGTCTTCTCTTTGCAGCGCACATATTTTTTGATCGTTTTGCCGTGTAACAACAAGCAAGAAGCAAAATAAATTTTGATTTTCACGATTTTCATTTCAAAAAGCTAACGAAAAAAATGAAACGAAATCTTTTCGATTTAAGACAAAACAGTAATGTACAGCGTTGCTGTAATGTGTTTTTTCTTATTGAAATTATGTTAAGGGCAAACACTTTGCATCATATATATCCCATATATAATTTTCTTGAATCATTGCCTCCTTTTTTTGTGATAAATCATAAATCATCGATGACCAATCGAAGGGATTGCATAAAATACGATACGGTAAAGCCAGTTTGGATACACTCTAAAGAATACTTTTTTTTCCCTTCCCCGGAAAAGTGTCGATATATACAGTCCAGTTTGTTAGCATGTTGTGGTTTCGATGACACTCTCTTCTCTCTCTCTCTCACTTCTGAAATAGTTGAATTGACCGCAGCTTAATTTACACTTATTTTCTACAAACATAGCGTCGTTTTTTCCGATTTGCCGCAAAAATTCATTGCCAAATTCTACCGACACATTTCATCCGCGAATGTTCGGTTTGAAGTACCCAAACTCAAGTCTTGCCTCAAATTTGTCGTTACCACACATTTGCATAACATTTTACCCATCGTATTTTATTTTCGATAAATCTTCTTTTTTTTTACCACTCGTTTCGATTGAAAAAAGCAAACGAAATGCGAGAAAGAAAAGAGAAAACAAAAACAATCTTAAATGTCTCATCATTTCTCATTCGTGTTGTCCGCGATATATTCATCGAGATGCCGCTGTCGCACACGAATGATACTATTATATACTAATCATTTACGATATGGCCAAACGATTTAAATATCGAAACCCCCCCCCCCCCCCATATTCTTTTATTTTTATTCTTCTTCTTCTTTACGTTTTATTTTTTTCTTCGTTAAGTTGTTAGTTTTTATCATAAATTATATTTTATTTGTAATTCGTATCATAATTATTTGCTCTTAATTTTATGCAAAACACACACACACACACACACATACACAAATTATATATGCAAATGTAATCATCTTGCCAATTGAAAAAGTATTTTTGTATTATGATTTTTAATAAGGCTTATTATTATCATCATGAATGAAAAATAAAAAAAACTGTTAAAAGCACGAAAAAAATACAAAAACACAAGTTAAAAAAAAAGAGTCGGCAACGCCTCCTGCTGCTGTTGCTTTGCACCGACAAAAACAACCGCTATTTGGCAGCTAGGAGCAGGGAGCAATAGCAAACAAAAAAAATTAATAATTGTCATACAATTACATCTAAACAATTTTCGCAAATTAAAATGAAATTGTTCTCGTCTGTATTATTTTATTTTGCCGTCAAACGCCACCACACATCCTAATTTGGTCACACATCGAACCACATTTTTATTTTTAACATTGTTTTTTCTTCTTTATTTTAGACGTTGAAACGTTATTATACACCAACAACAAATTCTATTTTACAATTACGAACGATAATTAACTAATTTTATGCAATTTAAAGAAGAAACATTTTGAAAATACAAATAAAAACGACCAAAAAATATCAAAAAATCAATCGTTAGGCTTGAAATTGTTTTTTTTATTTCCTTTGATTTTTTCCTCCTTTTTCTTGAGAGAAAGTGCAAGCTTGGTAAGTAGAGATGATGGTGTTTTGCTTCCAAAATCGATAAAAATCCAAAAGAAAATTCTACAGCAAAATGTTTTTTTCAAGAAATTTGAAAAGATACTGCCCATTAGCCTGGTCTGTCTTGAGTGGAAATTGGCCCAATATTTCATTTCTTACACTTTTATTTGCATTTCATAGTAAAATTGTGTATTCCATTCGAAAAGCAGAAATCATTCCTCCCGAAAGAAAAGAAATTCTGCCAAATTTGCACAATTCTGAACTCACTTTCAGTTTGTTCGATTCAAAGTCCACTTGAAGCATTGTTTACTCGTTAATTTCGCGAATTGGCTAATTTTGTCATTTTTTCCTCCATTTTTGTCTTCTTCGTGTTTGCTTTGGCTGTTATTTGCATTGCGTTTTATTGAAAACCGATCCGAGAAGCGCAGAAAACAAATGCGGCAAAAAAACGTGTACAAAAAAGAAAAATGAAGGAGAAAAGGTAAGACAACGACGAATGGACGTTGAGACGCCAGAAGTTAAGTGGATAAGAGACTAAAAATGGTGAAACAAAATCGCTTACAAATGAAATCAACTCAATTTCTTGAGTATTTTGTTTGTGCATTATTTTTTCTGTTCTTTTTTACGAGAACTTTTCTAATGAGGATCATAAAACAAGTTGAACAAAAAACAACAGAAGGTAAATGACTGAATCGTGAAGAAAAAGAGCAAGTGAATAAATGGTGTAAGGTACAAGTGCCGAAAAAAAAACCTGGTAATTTTTCAGCGACATGCATTTTCCATGAGTCTTCCAATTTTTTTTTTTTTTTTTTGATACGCGTGACTAGATTGCAGAGTGTCAATCGAAACCAAGTGCTCAGCCGCAACGTGCAATAATGATGATTCATGAATAATTGAGAATTTACACGAACAACGTGAAATAAAAAATGCCGTCATTTTCTTTTGTATATTCATTGTTTTTGCCGAATGCGGTTTCAATTTGGATTCAGGCTACAAAAAAACTCCCGGCAAGTGGATGAATTAGTACTTGTCATAAATTATATGAAATGACTGCAACAAGGCGCTATTTACATTACCCAGGACAGAATACTGATTTCATACCTTTCTCATGATTCGACCCAAGGCAATTTAATCCAATGTCAACATCGATGCGATGCATACAAGCGAATGCATCGTGGAATGATCTGCTTAATAATAATGAACATGAAAATGAGACCAGCAACAAAGAAACACTCCCGTTTTATGACGACGCTTACTTTGTTTCAACCATAAATCTGTCGCTTTAAATGGTTTTTCTAATTCGAATATTGCATAAATAGAATCTTTCGTATTGTGTCATAGCGTATTAAAAGTTCAAGCATTTTCATTACAATGTAAGCGAATCTATGCAAAAATTGAGTCTCTAATTTGATTACTTTGAATAAAACAATAAAAAAAACATCGTTTTTGATGACTAAGATGCATTTTTGCAAATAAACAGCTCTGGTTGATATTTCATTAGTTTTAATTCCCCTTGATACACATCTGACATAAATGTCAAATTTCAAATTTGTAACATGCATTCTGATCAGTGACGTAACTAGAATTTTTTTAGGGGGGGGGGGGGGAGGAATCTCGTTTAAAAAATCGTCGGCTTTAGTAACTTCTTAGACATTCGACACTCCATACAATTTCTAGTCACATATTTCTCATTGGGGATATTAACATTTTGAAAACAATACTTTAATGGAGAAAAAAAAAAAACAGAAAAGGAGATTTTACCTTTAGAAACTTTAATGATTTAGCTGTTCCAACTATATTTCACTTGAAATTTGGTATGTGCTTTATAATATTAAGAGATTGCAGCCAAAGAGAGAGCCATTCAAAGAGATAATTAGCGCTCATTTCGAGAAGAAAGGAAGGTAAAGGGTGTTTTTTTAACGTTTTTTTTTTAATTTCAAATAAAAGGCACAAATTCCGATATTTTGATCGTACCGCTTGGTTTATTTGATAGATAAATTCATATAATTTAATGTCCGACATACAGTTTGGGGATATGACAACCTCCCCTCCTTTTTGGGGGGTCTTCAGGACACTAAATTTTTCGACCTATTTTTTTTTTTTTTTTCCCGCTTATAATTGACGACAAAAGTTATTTCGTGCTCAAAATATGGTCAGGTTTTAGCCTAAATTTGCATGAAATAACGAAACAAATACGAATTAGCCCAAAACTCATTAGTACAGAGTGACGAAATCTGTTTTTGAGCAGTAATCTGGTTTCATCGAGCAGCCTCTATTCACAGCCATTTGGGCTATACCCAAAAACAACTTTTCCACTTTTTCTGACAAAATTGGTCTGGATGATCACCGGATTAAATAAAATGTCCATATCATAGCATATTTTGAGCAAAAAAATCAATTTACTGGAGAAACTGTCTCGTGTAAGTTTTTTTCCCAAAATTTCGAATATGCAATCTGTACATCATCCAACAAAATGACCCTATTTTACGGCTATGGGCTACTCCCCGTGGGGATACATGAATTCTTTTGTTTACTCAGATCAAAATGAACCGATTTACACTTTAAAGTTCAGCAAATTTCATGAAATTGTGAGTATATGACCTCAAAATCTTCCAAAATAGCTCAAAAATGGACTGTCAGGAGGGGTGGGTAAAAAATGAGGGGAGGTGGTCATATCCCCAAAATGTATGTCGGACATTAAATTATATGAATTTATCTATCAAATAAACCAAGCTGTACGATCAAAATATCGGAATTTGTGCCTTTTATTTCAAATTAAAAAAAAAAAATTTAAAAAAAAACACCCTTTATTATTTTCATTAAATTTGTTGAAATTTTGTATATGACATGTTTAATTATTTTACATAAAAATTTTATTTCTTATGCTGGTTTTTCGAAATGATTTACGCATTATGAATCTTTTTTTTTTTTAAATTAAATCAGAGATCCAGCTTTTGTTGGAACTGATTTTCAATTCCATTTTCTATTTCCATTGAGTAGTAGTAGCATATTTTGGCTAGTCGAATTTCCATACTTCATACATAAATTGAAGTTTAATCAAAATTGGATGTGGAAGTGTCGCTTTTAGCTGGTAGACGTACATATATTCGGTGCGTATTCATTTGAGGTTGATTAATAAATGATATGTTAAAGCCTTTATTAAATACGTAATTTTTGCCGATTCTGTCAAATTTTTATTCAAATTAGGTAAAAGAAACAATTTTTATTTTCAGTTTATATGCAATTGGATGCTTTTTTAAATGAATTTTACAATCTGTTAAAGCTCAGAGACCGAATCCAACCAGATGAATAGTCTTTATGGAATGGGTTTTGATGGAATTGAATTTCAACCGTTGGCCACCATCCTTCGTAATAACTCAAAGGATCAAGATCCAGGAGTACTGAAAAATGAATTTCATACATAATATGCGGTTTGATCGCAATCGGTTGCGTTAACACCACTTTCAGTCTTTTTTGACGAGTCAACAAGTTGGGATTTTTGATATCGTCATTGACCCACTTTCTTGATAAGCCCTCATACAAAACTTTTTCTGAAGAATCGCTGCTGATTTCTCTAATTGTTACGCTCACAGCATTGAACTGTTTATAATGTCGATAGTAATTATCTACCATACCTATCGTGGAAGTGGAATAAATTTCTCCCAAAAGTAATAATTGATTTGATGTAAACCAAACGACTTCTGATTCCTTGAGACTGGTTTCTGATTTGCTCATAATTTGTCGATCACACTTCAAAATATCTTTCTCATTCCAGTTAAACTTATAAACTCGAGGATTCTGTTTGAATATTTTCGGTTCATATCCCTTTACTGTAGAAGTAAGTATTATATCCTTGAATTCATCTGAAGTGAAGAGTCCATCATTTGAATTTTCGATAGTTAAGAAATCTTCAACTGTCATTTCACTGAATCTAATTGACTGAAAACAATCGCCGAGTTGAGATCTCAAATTCACCGCTTTTGCTCCATCCAAATCATCTTTCTCACACGCGTTTTTGGCCCACGTCAAACAGGCTTCAAATATGCTGGTTTCCTTGCATATCAAGCCCTTTTTGGGCGATCTGGCAATTCTTTTGGCGATCTGGCAATTTTATCCTCACAGAACTCGATCAGCTCTTTATTATTGAGATTCATAGCCAACTGATAGGCCCAGCACACATTATCCATTGTCAATTGGCTTCTGAGAAATACGGCAGAAGCGTTCACATATCCGAGAACATCGTATTTGTCGGCCAACCGAACAATGGTCTCAATATTTTCCATAGTTATTGTCACCTCACTCAAATAGAAAATCTGAAGAAACTCCTTGAATGCATCGGCATCGGCATCTTCAATTTTTACTTCGTTTCCCTCCTTCAATGATCCGTAGAACATCGCATGAAATACCGGACTTAGAGATGCCAATATTAATTTATGTGCTGGCACCTTTTGGACATCATCATCGAATTTGAACACGAAGTGAACGTCGGCTAATTGTTCGTTGAGATACATCTTTGCGATCAACTCCGATGCAGTAGTACTTTTCAACTCGTTTGCCATTTCCACAGTATTGAATGTCAAGTGTTGAATCAAGTGTATCGAATATTTGAAAGTTGATTTGTGTGTTTGATTTGCAATATGAATATTGTATACGATATTTGAAAAAAGCGAGCTGTTGACTTAAGGAACACGTATCGAATAGTTTTGGCTGCACTTAACCAAAAATGTGCGATTTGATAGACTTCAAAATCAGAAATTTACTGGTCAGCACAATGAGGTTTCTTTTTTGTTCGCAAAAATAATAGGTGCTGTTCACTCGGAAACGAATGATTTCTTCTAATATCTCGATAATTTGTATTGCTGGAAAGTAAGAAAGTCATTAGGCTTTCGGATGATCCCATGTGTATGTATTAATGCCATCGGTCCTGCTCC